TGGCCGGACACACACACACCGGCCCTGCTCATGGGCTCATGGCAAGGAGGCTCATCGAGGGTAGAGCTCTGTGTGAAAGGGGAGAGAGACAGACGGGGAGAGACCGAAGCCGGGGCTCCTTTCTCAGCCCCGCGCCCCCCAGCTGTCCCTCGAAAGGGCCTGAATGCTGACGGCGTCCGCTCAGCCCTGCGCGGCCCGGCTGCAGGGACAATGGACGCGAAGGGCTCCCCTCGTGGTTGAGAGCCCCCCTGCCCGCCAGCCCTCCGCCCTCCACCCGCAGCACGTGTGAGCCAGTGACGGGGGCCTCCAGCCTGCCCCCCAGCCGCTGCCCACTTACCCGCGCGAGTGGCCAGGCCCACCAAGGTCAGGACGGCCCAGAAGCTGCCCCAGGACCCGGGCCTGGCGAAGCCCAGCTTAAGCATCTTTGTGCCCGGCCCCCCGCTCGCATCCCTCCTCCTTATATAGGGCCCGACCCAGGGGCTGGCGCCAGCCCCCCTCCTAGCCAGTCCCCTTCCCCCCACCCGGCCTCTGCCATGGATTGGTGGAAAGTGGCCCCAGCTGTTGCTCAGGCAACCACTTGAGCCAGAGAGTGGCAGCCCCCGGGGCTATTGTGCTGCCTGTGGGCCCCTGAGGGTCACATCCGGCACCCCCTCAGCCCGGCCACCCGCAGCAGCAGCTGGGCCTCTCCTGGGGAGACTGGGCTCCTGCGGGCGGGCACCCCCTCAGCCCGGCCACCCGCAGCAGCAGCTGGGCCTCTCCTGGGGAGACTGGGCTCCTGCGGGCAGGCAACGTGCCGGGGCCACGGGCAGTCCCCGGCTCAGGGGGTCCCTGCCCAGCCCCCAGCCCCGCACCCCCACCCTGGCACAGAGCGCCCTGGCAGCAGTTGGCTGCAGTGCCATGTGAGCCGGCTGCAGAGGAAAGACCTGGAGAGCAGTGGGCAGGAGGCTCCGTACCCAGCCCGCCCCCTCTCCCGCTGTGGGCGGGGCTGGCTCCCCAGCGAGGAGGGCGAGGGTCTCGTGGGGACCCCGGTATCCTCCTCAGGTTCTTTGTGGGAGCATGCTCGTGGCGTGCCCTGGGGAGGCTGGGCGATGGGCCTCTGGGATCCCAGGGACTATGGCCATCCCGGTGCCCTTTGGTCTGGGCATGGATGCTCTTCTAAACACAAAGGCACAGAGCAGAGGTGGAGGGGGTGGGGGGGGGGATGGCTGAGGCCTGGCCCTTGCGGAGAGCAGGGGCTCCCTTGAGCTGAAGGGGTGACAGCTGAGAGTTCCGGCTCTGGGGTCCTCGGGGGCGGGTCCTGGACCCCAGGGAGCAGCTAGATACAGCCCTGGCTGGCATAAGTGGTGTGGCGGCCCCACACCCTCTGGAGAAACAGTGAAGTCAGGAATTGGGCCTGGCACAAGATGCCCGCCCAGTGGAAGCCCCGCCCAGCCGCTCTGACTTCAGCCGCCCTGCTGTCCAGATCCACCAGCTCTTGCCCACTGCAGCCCTCTGCCCAGCCCAGTAGGCCAGAGGTCAGCGAGAGGGGGGAGGGGTGTCCGGACATCGAGGGCATCCCGGCTTCCAGGCGCAATGCTTTTTGACAGGAATGTTCTGGCGTTAAAGGGCCAATGCTAAGACCACAGCTAAGCAGAAGACAGTCTTCCGGGAAATGGCTTCTGACTCCAGGCTCTGGGAGGCTCTGCCCGGTGTCCCCAAAAGGGTGGGGCCACCCTGGGGCCACCTCAGCCAGGACACCTGTCTTCTAGGCAGCTGGGAGAGAGTCACATGCACCCCAAGCTCTAGCTACTGCAGTTGGCTAACTGCACTTCAAACATGCCGGAGTGAGAGACCACAGGCCAGCAAGACACCCCAGAGTCAGCTGTGACGCCAGTCTGGGACCCCACGAACCCCGACCTACCTTATCCCTAAACTTCCTCATGACTTTTTAAAAAAAATATGTATTTTTATTTATTCATACACACAGAACTGGGGTACAGGCCAGAGGTGTGGAGAATGAGAGGACTCACCAGAGACAGTGGGGAGCAGGACAGGCAGACGGAGGAAGCACACTGCTGAGGGGAGCAGCGGGGAGCAGGTGAGGTCTGCCACGCCCTGCGGGCCACTCCCTGGCCAGGGCTCTAACTCGTGCTGCCAACAGTTGATGGCCTTAACCCCTATGCCACCAGGTAGCTCCCTCTCATTTTTTTTTTTTAATTAAAAAATATGCCTTAATGCCAAACAGCAAGGCTCTATCCAGCCTTCGCCCGTCGTGATCTCTGTGCAGGGGGTCTGGCTGCTGCCCCCCACAGATGCAGCCGGCCTGCTCCAGCGAAGCCCCTGGCAGTCGTCCGTTGCCAGGGGGCTTCACAGACATGCTGGTCTCGTGAAACGACGACTTCTGCCTCAGCCCTCTGGTCCAGGTCAGGGAGCCGGGCAATGCGATTTCCTGGTCACGCTTGCTTCTAAAGGGGCTTCGCAGGGGCCCTCGCTGGTGGCGCAGCGGGTTTAAGCACAGCACACGAAGCCGGCCGCAGACGCTTTAGCTCGGGTTCGATCCCCAGCCAGGGGGTGACCCACAGGGTGCAGCAGGCCCTCCTGTCTCCCTGCTGCTCCCCCCAGCAGTGGAGTTCAGTAGGTCCACCTGTTCTGCTCCCCACTCTGATCTGGTGAGTCCTCTCACCCCCCTGCATCTCTGGCCTGCACCCCAGTTCTGTGCATAAGTAAAATTCCTTAAAAATAAATAAAATGGCTTCTCAGATGTCAGCTTTTCACGTGGGTGGAGTGGGTGGCGTGAGCCTGAATCCCAGTTCAGGAGAGCGGAAGGAGGCCTCTCCCCCCTCACGAGGGGCCCACGAGGCTGCGGTTACTGTGCCAGGTGGGCCCGGGAGACGTGACCCCCGAGAGCGGGGCTGGCGGCGCACAACAGGAACATCCAGAGAGGACTTTCCTTCCTGCCCTGCGTCTGTGCCCTGCGTGAGGTCTCAAGGCCAGGAACAGGCGGGGTGGGCGGATTCAAACCGCCTCCCTAGTCCACTTCTCTCCCCACAACCCCTGCTGTGTCTCTGGGCGCAGCTGCCATTCCCTAAGCAGAAAGAGCCCCCTGCGCAAGGAACCTCAAGTGGAACTTGTGCCAGCTGCGGCAGGACCAGGAGTTCCTGCATGTGCGGATGGGTGAGAAGGCAGACGGGG